CAAATTGTTTATGTTTATTATGTTTTGGCGATTGTACGTGCACATTATATTTTATTATACTTTGTTATCTTAATTAACTATTAGTTGTAACTTGTAACTTGTACTAAATATTATTTTATTATCTGAAGTACACCATTTGATACAACCAGATCATGTTGTATTGGTTTTCGTAAGCGCTGTTACTATTTTCAATTTAATTAAATAATATTCAAACTTTGTCCAATTGATAGAATTTACAGACTGTTAACCACCATGTATGATCTATTCACCCTGTATGGGCCTGAAATGTATATTCTTCGAAAATTTTTTTGACTTTTTTTCTAATAGTTTTTAGACGTAAACGAGGAGTTATTTGAGGAGTGCTAGTGGTCAAGTTTTTGAAAACAGAGTTAACCTATCTTCTGGTATGCCTTACACGGTCGGCCATGTGACGTTGCTAGAAGAGTATAATATTGCCTCTCCCTGAATTACCCCGACATAACACTATGATTTACATAACCCCAGTTGGTCGCTTTCAGGACACTCAGTGCTCGGCGGGCTTGTAATCGATTTATACGAGGAAGAATGTCAAATAATGTGTTTTCCCGACTTTTCCAGTTAATTCCTGATACCCCGTGTTGTTTATCTATATCAAACCAAGACTTCTTCAATCCACTCTTTTAATATCCTGTTTTTCGAATTTTACACATTAAGTACTCATAATAACATACTATAATACCAATGATGTACCAGCTGGTACCATGTGACCATGGAAAACATTTTTTGATTGATAGGATTAGATATATCAGGTTGATACAACGCAATACAACTAGTGCACAGTGAATTTTACAATATACTACCTAGATCGCATAAGCAATATTGTTTATCAACTTGTAGCTATTTTATTTGTCTACTCAGCTTATAGAGAAATAAGAAACACAGTCGATGGCTAACATGGGAGTGACAATACTACACGGCAGGTATACAGATGGGTGACTGAATAAGGATGACAAACGGGTGTTACCTGACTGCAGCCGACCAAAACTTGTAACCGCCGACTGTGGTCCTTATTTTGAACAGAGTATAGAGATAAGCTGACAATGTTTACATTACCCTTGCATTATACACTATGTCCGGATAATTTAAGGCAATTTTGATTTTAACCAATTGTAAAGGACCGTGCACTTTGCATCGGGCATTTATTACATTGGCCGGTTGGCTTATTTAGCAATAAAAATATATATTTTGTATGTTTATAAATATAAAGATCTTATGAGATCGGATTTAAAAGATGAACACATAATTTCTCTATTGATTTTAGTTATTTTGTTGTAACATAAAATATTCTAATTGTGAGGACTTCAAACTTTTCCACAAAATATTAAAAATTTTACATATCATTAATTTCTATGCACAATTCAATTTTAAAAATATTTAGTATTAACTTGTACTACAGATATATATACACCATTTTATGATACATCGGGTTTGACTCATAATTTTTTAACAATAATAATATATTTATTATAATATAACAATAATTATTATTTAAAATTATGTTTGTAAGTTAAACGTAACGCCTTACTTAGAGTTATATAAATTATGTATTAAATATCCTTAAGAATAGCGACTTACATTCCGTTTTCATTCAGAATCGTTTTTTATGTGCAATGATTTATCATTGTATTCAAATTAAGCACATCAATAAGTCATTAAAGTGACCTACTCAGGGAAGAAGTACACTCAAAACTTACTATACTATACAACGGAGAAACTTCCCTGGTTTTTTAAAAAAATGTTTAGCTCTCAATTTCAATCAATAATCAAAAAACTTTAAAACAATATCCTTCATTGTGCAAATGCTAATGAAAACAATGACGGTAATAATCATAAAATTAACTTTCAACTCCCATTAATTACGCTTAAATTTCCGATCTTTGTTTTCAAATAAAACCAATTACTATCATATTAAAACATATATTGTAAAAGTTGACTAGTCTCAATAACAATATCTACTAAATACTTGAAATTTTAAAAACATTAAAAAGCCATGTATATAATTTTTTTTTTTTATCATGGTACAAAATACGGGAGGTACATAAATATATTATTTAGAAAGAACAATTTTGAATATTAAACGATCAAAATAAATATAACTGATCTAATAACTAATTTATATTGTTTTAAATTAGTTTATGTCATAATAAATCAATAAATAGTAATTTAAGTAAAAGAAAAAATGAGATATAACTTTTAACACTATATTTTCGGATATTATAATATTCATGGAACGTTTTTCTTTGAGCTCAATTAGTTTTAACTATTATTGATACGGCCTGATTTTCATAGCGATAAGGTTTATGTAGAATCGTTTTTCTGTCAATACTATTTCTTTGTAAAGGTCTTGGCAATGCAAAATGATTATGCCGAAATAATTATGGAAAGTTGGCAGTGATTAGGATAACCCGATTAAACAACAGTTGTTAAAACTTCGGAAGTCAATTGCGCTCGAGTTTCCCTTGTTGTCAAATAGCAAGACTCGTAGACGTATTGCCATCAAACCAACTGATAACGTAGAACTTTTGGGATTTTCCAACTCTGCCTTCATTGTCCATTGAAGCTTACGCTGCAGTAGTACATATACTTCAACGTAAATCATAATTTTCTTCCTGTCACCCTTTCACAGTTTCACCGTGAGACTGCTCAATCTGAAGATCTCTATCCTCTTAAAATCGGACAGACTAATGAATCGTTAACCATCCCACGTTTATCACTATGTGTACATACTACTATAATTGGCACAAAGGGTGCCTGCTTCAAGTGCGAGACGTTTACAACTAGCAGCAATGTCATAAGGCTTACGCAGGGGTGGTTGCCACGCTTGCACACAAAAAACATATAATTTTATAGATACAATATGGATTATACAACAGCTGCTTACTGTTAATACCCGAAAATAGTTAACTTGGATCCGGCATGAGCAAGGGGAGGACGGATGAGATAGGAGTAGGACTCGAGCGCACTAACGTTCTTCACGTGTATGTAAATTAAATGATAAAAATATCACATTTAGATGTAGTTTAAATTATAACAACAACAAAGCATCGACACACATGCACGCGACTTAACTTATATTAAATCTGTTCTCCACCCCCTCCCCCCCTCTCCGCCACGCTAATTACATGTATTTGTACCCCGTAATCAAATCAATTATGTTTCACTCCCGTATTGACTGTTTCATTTTGCTGAAATTACGAGATCAAAGTTACGTTTCCACCTTAAGTAGCCTAGAAAATTATTGAATTATGATGTTGGAATATTAGGGTGAATATATTACAATTACATACGGACCCACGAAGTGCAAGATAATTTCTGGTCGTATGAAGTCCCATTTCGCTGAAACGGTTATTAATTTATACGTAAGATCTTTAAACTCCAAGACACTGGAAACTTATCAGGTTAAAGCAAATGTACGTACCTTAATAACAGACGTCCGAGTATTTGACATTGTATTTCAACGTATATGAATAAAAATAATATGTTCATCGCTTATATTTCTCTATGTAACATAATTTTAACATTCGAATAAGATAATTGTGCTTCAAAACAATTTTTTTTTAAATATCAAATATATTTGTATTGAAAAAGTGTGGAATATTGAGGCATAGACTACATGTAAAATAATAATATATTAAGTGAACGTAATTTTTAAAGAAATAATAATAATAAGTTGATGTCAACTATATAATAAATGTGTAATTTTCAATGGGATTGATTTAATTTAGTTTTATGAATAATTTATATTAAATGCTGGTGCTGTTAATGTTTTATTAAGATATTAAAATAAAATGTCAAAAAAAAAAAAATTAATTTATCCTTGGACATTTATGACTGTCTTTTCAGTCCTTCTCTGGATTTCTAAATTCATTGAAATAGAAATTAAATGTCAAATTTAAGAATATTATCAAAAGTTTATTATTAAAGAGTGTAACATAATATGCGTTTTTTTCAACGGTCTGTTATCGTCTTTTGGTGCAGTAAAAATGCTTTGATTATGAATTTTGAGGATAAAATTAAATTTTAACTAGTTGGTATGTAGAGTGAAAATTCCCAGTTATATTAAAATAAAACCCAGAAAAACAAAAAAATAAAATAAACAAAAAATAAAAAACAGGAATTTTCATAGCAATAAACCAGAATTTTTTCATAACAACATTCGGTTCATTAAATTAATTGTATTTGTTGTGCGATGTTGACGAATAGTACGAATAAATTTTACAATTATATTATAAAACTCATATACTAAAAAAGTCAGTAGAACATTTAGTTGTCCAAAAAGTTTTCTTAAAAGTTTCAACAGCCAATTTTAATACTTGCACACTAATTTAGATGGTTGAAATATAAATATAAATGCAGTAGTTCCAAGTGGAAACCATGAAAATATATGCTAAAAATCAAGAGGCAATTATACAAAAATAATAAATTTATATTTCATTTAAAATTCAATCAATCTTGAATTAAAATGATTAAAATATTTCGGGAAATTGAATTCACAATTGATTATAAATTATAGTAAGAATAGTATTATAATAATTAAAATAATTTTTTTGGTTTTTTTTATTTTGTTTACAAGTTTAACTTTTTGGCTTTATTCTACACAACAGTTAACGATTTTTAACTTCAATTCCTTTTTTTTTTAGTAATTATTTTAATGAATGAATTTAAATCAGTGCATATGATATTGGCTAATGGTTATTTAATAACAAAATAATAATTTTTTTTTGTTCGTACACTATAATAGTATTAACTTTTAATTTAAACGTGTTATTTTTAAAATGGTTTAATTCAAATTATTAAACATTTATTACAGAATAGTGTGGTATTTAAGGGCATTTATTATACTCTTCAAATAAACTCAATTATGTTCTCATAAATATATTTAACCGACTCATATATTCTAAATAATATTAGAAATAGGTATATTATTTGTATTCATACATTCCTATATTTACTTTTTTTAGAGGTACCAGTGGAATCGATATTGATTTGAGAAGGGTTGACATTGATCAGTGTCCTTTGCCACCAGGAAGTAATCATTTTAACATATTTGCATCATCCGACAAGTGTAAAAAACAAACTACTTACGTAAGTTAATATATTATATTATTGCAATACTAGTTTAATATCTCATTTGATTTAGTTTTTTTTATGAAATATTTCATGTAATTAATAAAACACTCTAATGTAGGCAACGTATTTTTTTAGAGCGAAGAGATTTTCTAGAATTTTTCTATTGTTAATTAGATTGCTTTTTTTGAACATTGAAAATATACATGGAGTATTCTGAAACCGTAGCTTTTCGAATGTAATCATTATTATAATAATTCAAAAACTAATTTAATTAAACATGCTTGTGTTCAATTGTTTTTGAAATATTATCCACTTCTAGAGATTGATGTATACCTATTAATTATTAGTCAAACCTCTAATCACTATTAATTATTCAATTTAAAATTGCATTTTTAATTATAATTTCATATTCTGAAACGGAATACATATCTAAAAACGTATTTATATAAATAAGTCAAATGTATTAAAATGACACATTTTTTGTCGTACTCTTCTTATTTTACGAATAAAGTTAACTTACAACCACTATGTTATTGGTTGTGCAGTGTACACTTGTATTTGAGAGGTTGCATCGGAATGCATCTATATGTAAGGGTTAGGTTAGAATAAACCAGCTATTAAAATAATTACTTCCCCTACACATAATCTCATAAAATAACACAGTCGAATTCAAATAGTCTTTATTTCTAAAAACAGATATTTTCACTTGGTATTCCAATGAAAATGAATATTTAAGTCTTAACACTCTTAACTAGTTCAAAACCAGAACTATACAATTACTGCCCCACCTAGTTACCATCTAGTTACGTTTGTGATCATAATAGTTGCACTCAACTCCATAGGGTTAATTACTTGAAAGATTACTGACCTACAATCTCAAATAATGTTTCTGTCCTCTAAGAAATTCCATGTGATCAACCGAGATGACTTAAACTGAACTGGTTCAGTGAACTATACTTTCACCTTGGAAATAAATTATTCGCCCCCGTGAGAACTATGAGAACTTTAATCTCTAAATTAATTAGTATGGTTCTATACATTTTATATTAAAGTTACCTCAAATGTACTTATTATTTAACGTAAATGTACAGATTGATATGAACCCTTGATTTAAGAAACAATAACAAATAAGTATAAAGTAGTAAAACACAATATGAGTATCTGTTTTAATTTAATTTCCCGTTTACTGCCTTACTGGTCAACTGCGATTCCTTCCATAGATCTCCATTTTAATTATAGGTGAGTAAGTATTTATTTTTATTTCGTTATCTAAGTAAAATAATTATAATTATGCGTACCTATAACTTGTGAATAGTATTTTCTTTGAATTTTATGTTACATAACAAGAAGTCTCTATAGTTGGTATTTTATAAGTTCGATGTGTATGTAAAACAAAAAACTTTATCAGCTTATCCTAAACTGTAGGAATGACTAATATATAGAACTTACTGCGTTAAATGTATTATGTACTTCTAAAATTTGACTGGTTGTCCTATTTTTTAAAAATTTGATACTTATATTGTGTATTCAGCATTAATAATTATTATTCTATGACCTACATTTAATAATTATTGAATAAAGTTTATTTTATTAAGAAAATAATATAATTTAGAGAGGACTAAAAAAACTAAATAAAGAATTTCACATTTAAGTTTTTTTTTTTAAATTTAAATTTATAATGTAGTAAACTAGCTTTTTATGTCCATACAGCTAATAATTTAGAATATATTTTATAATCTGAACAAATAATATGCCAATACCCTTGCGTCTAATGTGCTTTGTAAAGTAATCCATATTTAATATTACATATTATAATAATGCCTTTAAGTAACTGACAATGCAAGTTACACTTCTCTTAATAGAATAATTATCAAAACTATAAAGAAATTCAGAATTGATTTGTCAGCTCACCAAACTCCTATTAACCGTTTAGTTCTTTCTTCAAAACCTATTATAGACCATAGCTATAATAGCCATATGTGTTCATTATGTTATATAACTATTATTAAATTATTGTATTAATTATTCTATTATTTTTAAACGTTGAAAATATTAATTTATTGGGTTATGACCTTTTAAAATTTAAATAAAGAAACATTGGTGACGTAAATTTGTTTTATTTTAAAACGAGAAACATAAATTTAATTCAATGCTTTTAAAACTTTTGTTGTATCAAATATTATATACAAATAAATATATGACATATTATCTAAGCAACTTTTAATTTATTTTTATGCTTACATATTGAAGTACAATTTAACTTTTTGATTTCGAACTGGATAAAATATTTTATAGTTCACCTTAAAAAGTATTTTCAAACTCGACATTTGAACTTATGTACTTATTTGTTCGTTTCATTTTTTAATTTTAATTTTAAAAAGTTACCTTATGTATATATTGATTTTTTTTTTACAAAATGTATTTTTCTGTTTGTTTCTCCAGGTCTCAAAATTAAATAACAATTTTTAATTTAATGTGGTTTCAACTAACCTCACAATTAATATTCCTCCCACTAGTCTAACTTACTTTGAATTTAATCAAGATTGTGACAATTATTAGTTAGTTTAATACGTCATTCAATTTAAGTACCTACTACCTATATTATATTCACCCAGAGTAAAAAAAAATTGATCCCAATTACTGTTATTGTACCATTGTACCAATAACCAATTTTATTGTTTCCTAAATAGCTATGATTAAGACTATATTTTACAAGTATACTTATAATTAATTTTATGTTTTATAATAATCACTCTTAGACTAATTTATCATTATGTTTTGTGTAATTATTAAAAAAGTTAAGTTCATGATTCAATCCAATTAAACACATAAATAATACTATTCATTGTATATCCGTTATAAATAGGTAGTGAATTTATAACAAGTAATAATTTGTCGGTTAAATGGCTATTTGCTGTAAACGACATTTTTGATACCTTTCTGGAGAAAAAAAAAAGGTTTTTCGCATGAATTTTTATGTTGAAAATTGTACGGCTTTTGTAGTTTTATAGATAGCTCTTCAATTTTTTAAATATATGGATTATATTAATGTCTATGTTAAACACAATTTCATAGAGCAGTTTATGTTTTTTTTATTTGTATAATCAATTGCCTCTATTCTAGCTGGTGTCTCTCAAGGTACTGTTTCTTCTTCCATCCTATATAACGTATATACTCAGCTCAACAACAAACAACCTTGTATACTTTAGGAGCTGAATTTGAAGATGACAAAATTATATGTACTTCGCAAAATTATCTATACACTGATAAACTACACTTACGAAACCACCTAAACAATCTATCTTCCTGGTAAACTAAATTTAAAGTTAAAGTTAACAATGAAAAATTATTACACATTTCTATTTCTTTAAGACAAGGTGAAATACCTTCAGTCAACCTTAATGACAAAACAACACCAAAAGTCTCCAACTTCCGTTACTTAAGCCTAACTCTAGACAAACGTCTCACCTGGACGGAACATATGAAAATTAAACGTACCACTCTAAAGCTCAGAAGAAAATCACTGCATTATTTGTTAGGTTACCACTCCAAACTCAATCTCAATGTAGACTTACTTATCAAATTTAAACAGAATTCAAAGATTATAATAGATCACCTTGAGCATGACAACGAAGGCCGCTTTATACGAATCGAACCACACACTTCGCGCTGACTTACACGTCTATCTCAGAAATGTAATCAATTATTTATTAGATACATAAAAGTCATTGTTCAAGAATTAGAAATCATCTCAATCCATTAATTGTAGAGACTGGTACCGAATTGGTCCCGAAAGATATGTTTTATTGAGAAACGCTGAATCCATGGGTAGAACACGATTCAGTATGGTCTTTATCAGAGCAAATTTAATAAAATTCGATTCACACGATTCCGTGCGTTTTATAGCCAAGATTTTAGTGCAAATGACTTAAGACTTTGAGATAAGCACTCATGAAGCATGTAGAGAGGTGTTAGTACATCGAGGATTTTCCATAGAACAAATAATGCAATATTTCATAGTCCACGCCCTTCTATTCATTTGGTTATATCAGTTCTGAAGAAAACAAAATAAGAAACATGCACAAAAATAAGGGAAGCACCTAAAGGACGTTTCCATCAAATGATCTTAAACGACAAACATTTGGATCACACAATCGACGAATATAACGAATATTTAATTCATAAAAATATAATAAAAGATTTGTCAAGTATATTTTGTAATAAGTACCAAGGTATCAAATGATAATAATTATTTTTAAACAAATGTATAAGTACATACTATTTTGTGCAATTTATACAATTAAATTGACACATTTTAAACTTTTTAATTTTTTTTTATAACGTTATTATTTAAGATAATTAAACGAATTTATAATAATAAATAATAAACGGCAATATTACACAAAAAATCGTATTTAATCGTGTTGTTTTGGGGGTCTTTTGACAAACCATTGTTTTGTTCAAAGTCGTACGAAATCGTGTTCCCAAAAATTTAAAACTTGCGAAATCGTGATTTACCGGATTTGGTTCACGTTTAAAAATGGTATTTTATCTAGTTGGGCCGAATTGGCTCCTGTTTTAATCACGCGCATTTTACTTTTCAATTATAGAGTCTTAGGACTGTCAAATTTAAAGTAGGCTTGGTTAAAAATGTGTGGTTATGTGAGTTAAATAAATAAAATAAAATATATACAATTTAAAATCGTTGATTTGGGAGTCAACCAGTCATCACTTAGGTATACAAAATAAAAATAATAAAATATAACATGTTACATTTTTAATTGTTGATTTGCAAATTTGAATAAAACATTTTTTTTTCAAATATTTAGTTCGCGTAAGTTTCTCATTAGCGTACTCAGTCATACAGTTTTCCAACTATTGGTTATTTCTTACCTGTTTTCTGTTATGTTTCCTTACATTTTTACTTCTAAATTTAATATAAAGTCAATATAACAATTTATTATCATTTTATTGTATCTATATAATAGAGTGTAAGTACATTTATATTTTAAAGT